GCGAACTGATGCTCTCCGCCACCCCACCGCCCCTTTTCTCCTCCTCCATCACATTACGCTCTCTAAGTGCAAAAGGAAACCAAGTATTTTCAACCTAACTTTTCCTTTCACCCACCCCAAGCTATGCTTCATGGATATACACAAGTATTTTATTTATTTATTTCATGAAAATGTTTTTAAAATCCCTTTGCGTACAGTTTTTAATGTCTTTTTTCTTTGCATATTTTGTCAGTTAACATTACCGTATAGAAGTGAAAGTGGAAAAATCTGAAAACGCATATGATAATTCTAATAATAAATCAGCATATTAGAATGATTTCTGAAGATCATGTGACACTCATCCACTCATGTGGAAATTCAGCTTTGCATCACAGAAATAAATTATATGTTAAAGGATATTAAAATAGAAACCATTATTTCATATTGTAATAACATTTTGCAAGTTTACTGTTTTTTTCTGTATTTTGGATCAAATAAATGCAGCTTTGATGAGCAGAAGAAACTTCTTTAAAAACATTACAAGTCTTACTGATCCCAAACTTTTGAGCGGTAGTGTATATACACACATGAACCACTGATGTCACATGGATTATTTTAACGATGTCCTTGCTACGTTTCTGTGCGTTGATCGTGTAAGGATCCTTGCTATCTATGGGAGGGTCAGAGAGCTTAGAATTCATCAAAAATATCTTAATTTGTGTTCCGAAGATGAACGAAGGTCTTACAGGTTTGGAACGACATGAGGGTGAGTAATTAATGACAGAATTTTCAGAGGTTTTCCTGCATGGGCCATCAAATCAACAGATAACAAAACTTTTTTTTTTTAATTCTCATTCCACGCTATTATAACCCAGTAAACACCTCCCTCAATCAATTAACTTCCCATGAAAAAGAAAGACTCGTGTTTTAGTTAAAAACGTCTTAATGCTGGATGTGTTTCAGCTTTTGTCTTCTCCAGATGTTAGCTGATGGACTGGAGTGCTGTGGATTATTGTGATGTTTTTATCAGCTGTTTGGACTCTCATTCTGACGGCACCCATTAACTCCATTGCTGAGACACTGATGCAGTGCTACATTTCTACAAACCTGATGAAGAAACAAACTCACATTTAAATTTTTAGGTGAGCTGTTCCTTTTATGTCAAAAGAGAAACGAAATCTCATGACGATGTTTTCTGAAATAATTCAGTAATTTCAAACATCAGATCTCAGACTGAGAGACAAATACTGAGGAGCCTCATGGGGTGCCAGTGCACAGGACACGGACATCATGAGATCGATGCGAGACAGACACGCACACACACACACACACACACACACACACACACAGCTGTGTTTCAGCAGGCGGGTGTTTGGCACGATGACATTCACTCCGATCTGCGTCGCCACCTGTGTCCCGTTACACAAGCCGTTGCCATGGCAATTGTCACAGTGCATCGTCGTCTGAGCAACTGTTTGCAATCTGTTGTGTCACATGATCAGGTCTGATGATGAGGACGCGAGCGGACAGCGTCTGCAACGATTAGAGTCTCACAGCTCACACATCACCGCAGGACACAAAAGAGCAGCACAACAGAGACAGAGAGAGAGAGAGAGAGAGAGAGAGAGAGAGAGAGAGTGTGTGTCTCAACTCATCACGTGCACACACACACACACACACACACACACCTGAACTCATCCCACACACACACACACAGAAATGAAATGGTTAAACTATTATATTAATACTCAATAAGCATGCTTACACACATACATAGACATACATGCACACACATTTTGTTGCAGATATAGATATTTGAAATAAATAAGTGACAATACTTATCTTCTCTTTTTAAGAGTTTATATATCATTTTCAGGTTTCACTGTAATCATAATCTGGCATAATTGTAAAAACTGATATGTCTGTATCAACAAAATGGTAAACTTGACCTTTTCTTGACTAAATGTGATTTTCAATGTTAGAGCAGTGATTTTATAATGTCCAAGCATGAATCCAGAAGCAAACCTATGAAAAGTACTGTTTTAGTGAGTTTAATGAGCCCATTAGTGGCCTTCCACTGCCATCTAGTGGTTATAAATGCAATTTCTCATACAAAACTGTGTTTTTAATCCTTATAACTTTTACAGTGTTATTTTTTGCCCAATATGTCTTAAATTTATATGCTTATTTAGAGTGAAATTATGCATCATTTTACACCGTACTGAGAAGTTGTGGGGTTTCTTTTAGGATTTATAGGCCTTTGGGTACACTATGTAAAGAACATATCATAAAATTTAATCCTTATAACTTTTACAGTGTTATTTTTTGCCCAATATGTCTTAAATTTATATGCTTATTTAGAGTGAAATTATGCATCATTTTACACCGTATTGAGAAGTTGTGGGGTTTCTTTTAGGATTTATAGGCCTTTGGGTACACTATGTAAAGAACATATCATAAAATGACCATGTTATAGCTGTCCAAATGCAAATGTTCAATTTTTTTTTGATAATTATTGACCAAGAGAGTCTAGACAATAGTACTGCACTGATTTGATTGATTTTGAGTTTAAAACCTACAACTAGTTCACAAAAGTAGAGTTTTTAAAAATAATCTCAAATGTTTAATGAACAGTTTGATAGACTGCATTGGTCCCAGAGGCAAAGTTGTTCAGAATGAGAAGATCTATCATATGATATGAAGATCTAGTATGTGTGTGAATATATGAAGAATTTTTTTTTTGCAATTTGAGGTCATTTACTACAGAAATATTGTGTTTTTGAGGCCTTTTTAACTGTCATAGCGCCACCTATGGTCCGGTCTCCATGAAACTTTGCAAGCTTGTTGAGAGTCATCTGACACATGTTTTTACCAAGATTCATAAAGTTTTGAGTTTTTGTTTAGGTTTTATAGGCTTCTGGGTATATTTGGCCACGCCCCTTTTTAAAATGACCCCGTTATAGATAACCAAAGGACAAAATTCAACATTTCTTTTTGATAATTATTGATCTAGAGCGTCCAGAGAATAGTGCTGCAGTGGCTTGATCGAGATTGAGCGAAAAACCTAGAACTAGATCGCAAAAGTAAATTTTTAATATATTTGTGAATATTTAATGAAAGATTTGATTGACAGCAATGGTTCTTGAGGCAAAGTTGCTCAATATGAAAAGATCTATCAAATGATATGCAAATGATATGCAGTGTGAGTGATTACAGAGCCATAAAACTCGTTAGCGCCAACTAGTGGCCGATTTCTTTCAAAATTCTTACAGACCTTTAGGGCCATGAGTCGAACATGCCCACAGAGTTTCGTTCCGATCGACCTTCGTTAACCTGGTCAAATAGGTGCTTAAAATTGTTTTGCCAATGGCGGCCATGTTTTTTGAGATACGCAAATGTCCTCATAGACACTTGTGCCACTTCAGACAAAGACACTGCATACCAATTCTCAAGTCAATCGGACCAATGGTTGCGCGGTTATAGCCGTTTCTATGTTTTTCCCATCTCATAGCGCCACCAAGTGGAAGAGCTGTGCAATGTTTTTTATTTGAACAAAGATTGATTTACTATATATAAATAATGCAGCCCAAACACTTTCAGTTATTTTTGTTTCCAGTCTGTTATGCTGGTTGATATTGCAAACTAGTATCTGTTATATTATTCTAATGTATTATCATAATCATAAACACACTGGGTTGCAGTGCAAAAAGTTTGACATTTTACTGCACTGTTTTATTCTTCTAGTTACTATTTATAGCGGCTAATACATCAGAAACCTAAAATATTCACATGAAAATAACTGAAATAGCAGAGTAATGTCAGCCAGCAGCTCATTATTACTGAATAAATCCCTTCTAGAGCAAAGAATAAAAAATAAAAACAGTTTACTTTGCGATAATGACCAGCTGACTGCACATCATCCCTCGTGTATATAATATCTAGCTAAAATAATGTAATAATGTCACATAATTCGGGAAGCTTTTCATTAAAGTTTGTTTTATACACCTTGCCATTCACATCCCTCACCAATAAACTCACGCTAGTTTTTATTTCATAACCTCACAGAGCGAAACGATTCGTCTGCTATTTTTCAGAAGAGTTTGACGCTCTCTAAATGGTGAGCCGCGTCTCATTATAACTGTTCTCCGCTCGTTATTTCACTTCTCAAGTAAACGCTTGCTGTCAGCGCGGCGCTCCTGAAGGACGAGCAGATACTGAGACGAAGCCAATGCAGCTTCAGCATCACCTGACCTTCACACTCACCGTTAGGGCTGCACGGTATTGGAAAAAACTCACATTGCGATATTTTGTTTTTCTGCGATATACATTGCGATATTTTGTTTTTCTGCGATATGAAAAAAAAAAATCACCAGATGACTTGAATCATCAATGATTGGGGTGATTTTGTAGGTGAGCAAAGAACATCATCATCATCATCACCACTGATCACAGGCAGCTGAGCTATATATATACCAACAGTCAAACCAAAAATTCAGACAGCAGATATAATTTTTGATATTTTTTTACTAGTGGGTGCAGGACACTGTAAGTGAGAGTGTGTGTGTGTGTGTGTGTGTGAGAGTGAGAGAGAGAGAGAGAGTGTGTGTGTGTGTGAGTGTGTGAGTGTGTGTGAGTGTGAGTGTGTGTGTGTGCGTGTGTGAGTGTGTGCATGTGTGAGTGAGTGTGAGTGTGTGTGTGCGTGTGTGAGTGTGAGTGTGAGAGTGAGAGTGAGTGCGTGAGAGAGAGAGAGTGTGTGTGTGTGTGAG